GTGTTCTCTCGATATGGACGATGTCGTTTTCTCCGGCGGACGACACACAGCAGTACAGCACATGTTTGATTCAAGCCCTCCAAAACCACCGAACCGGGACGGACGCCTTTGCTTTTTGAATTGAGATATCATATGCTTTTACATAGCTGAAAAGTTCCGATTCCTATTCAACCAACAGCGAATACATATGCAGCCACAGGAGGACAAAAAAGGTGGACCCCTGATGTCACAACTATTTGGGTTTTGGTTCTTTATTGTTCAACTGGAATGCGATCAGCACCCATTAGCCCACTTGACACCGGCCTTCACTGATTCAATGGTTTTGGATCACTCCAACTACAATTAAGGGCGGATGGTGAAAACCAAAGAAGCTATAGACTGGTCAAGTTCCGGAATGCAAAATGCTGCATGACTGGGCCAAACATGATGGCTGTTGGGTCTGAGACAGCATAAATAATTGTATGGGCCCACGTGTCTGTCTCCTCTACCGAATTGTTTGTTGCCACGTGGAGCAATTTTTTGGAGAACAACATAAATACTTTATTTAGTATTTTTCTTACTTAATTATTATGTATGTGTTGTTTTTTTTTTTCGAGGAGGGGTTGACTATGATAGACTACTGTGCAAAGTCAAAGGGCATATCCTCATTTCTAGGCTTTAACCATCCAATTTCCTTCAGTTGATAAGGCACTTGGGAAGGAGATCATGATCTTGCCGTTGGTTTGTCTGTTGGCAATTCAACCCTCAATTCTTGAAAGGACACATGATCATGACATGACATGGCATGCATGATACATATCGTCTCTCTTTATGGGAGATATGTATTATGATGCACAACCTAGGCATCTGATCGGAGGGCAGCAGAGACAGATTAATCAGTTAAAAAACTGGATCATTTCCTTTCCTTTACATGCTTATTCTGCATATATATATTCGATTATGCATGCATGTCGGCTGCCTTGGATACATTAACGCATGCAACATAATAATATGACCCAACCAAATTGCCTCTCCCTTAGGGGAAGAGCCATGCACCATTATGAGACCGCGTGGGGAGTGGATGCCTGATGGATAAACTTGTGTCACGCTATGTCTAAATACGTTGTTATTATGTTTCTGTTTCCTTTTCGTTCTTTTAGGATCAGCCCTCAGCTGGTCAGGGCCCTAATACGATGAATCAAGTATGTTTTGTCTTTCACGAATGGACTAGAGTCCAAAACTGGGGAGCTTATCACAAACTTAATTTCTTAAATTCATTAAGACGACCTTTCTAATACAGAGGGGGGGTGGGGAGTCGGGGATGTGACTTCTGGGTTGCGATAAAGATATGATTCCTACTTCACGTCCACTTCCTTTTCGTTAAATTGACAAACACTTGGAGGGGAGGGGGGTTAATATGAAGTGAGGTAGTTAGGTCTCATCTCTAATAGACCTGAAATTTATTTATTTATTGATAAAAATAGAAAGAATACGATGGATAGAGTCGAGATTAGGTTAATCCTAGCTCCGATTGAGAGCATGGCATGTGATGAGAGACAGCGACAATTATTCAACGGAAGTCTCAAGGAGAATAAAATATAAAAAAAAAGAATTCCAGACATACCATGGAATCGAAATGTTATGTGGAGCAATCAGTAAGCAAGGTACCGTTTGCTTGCGAATGTACTATAAAATGTCGGATTGGAAGATGGTTGTGGGGCCACGCCACAAGACGCGTAATTTCTGGCTCGGGTCCCCATGGCAAGATAAAATGTATGTTCAACTCTAACAATTTATCTGAAATATCAGACCTAAGGGAACAGAGGCGCGTAATTGCCTGAGCCTTGGGCAGTTGGGCGTTGTTAACTTGTACCAAATGAGGTTGCCTGCCGTGGCGGAATGCAAGTGCAAGGCCATTTGTTTTGTTTTTTTTTTTTTAGTGCAAGGCCATTTGTTGGAGAACCGGAATATCAGACCTAAAGTAGCTCACGTTCTTGCCAAGATGGCTTTGACTGGGAATGTTAATATGATGAGGATGCGTCGGTGTGTGTCACAATTGTATTTCTGGTTTGTTAGAG